TTCTGCGTTAAATCATATAATCATGTAATTTTTCTTTTTTTAGCCTATGAATGTGATTACATTGATTTTTGAGTACTGAATCAATCTTGCATACCTGGAATAAATCCCACTTGATCATGGTTTATAATTATTTTTATATACTTCTTAATTCTACTTGTTAATATTTTATTATGGCTTCATGAGGGATATTGGTCTGTAATTTTATTTTCTTTTTCTTATTTATTGAGGTACAATTGACATATATAACATTATATTAGTTTCAGGTGTATAACATAATGATTCAGTATTTGTATATATTGCAAAATGATCACCACAATAAGTCTACTTAACATCCATCAGTATACATAGCTATACATTTTTTTTTTCTTGTGATGATTTTTTTTAAATACTGTCTTTTTCTGGTTTTGCTGTTAAGGTGATACTGGCTTTATAAAATGAATTGGGAAGTTTTTCCTTATACTTTATTTTTTGAGGGAGGCTGTAGAATTGGTCTTCAAAGATTGGTGGAATTCTCCAGTGAAACCACCTGAGCCTGTAGATGTCTTTTATAGATGCTTTTAACTTTTGAATTCAATTTATTAATAATTTAGTAGTTACATACTCAAATAGTTAAAATTTTGAGTGTTGTATTTTTTTTTCTTTCTAAGTAATTGGTCCATTTCATCTTAAGTTGTCAAATTTATATCCTTTTGATATCTGCAGGTCTGTAATGATATCCTTTGTTTCATCCCTGATGTTGGTAATCTTTGTCTCCTCTTTTTTCTTTGTCATTCTTGCTAGAGACTTGTCAATTTTATTGATCTTTTCCAAAGAATCACATATTTATTTCATTGGTTTTTTTCTCTAGAAAAGATTGCAAAAGTAGGAGCTTAGATTATTGATTGACTTTTTCTCTTTTCTGATGTTTGTATTTAGTGCTATAAATTTCCCTGTCAGCACTGCTTTGTGTCTCACAAAATTTGACATGTTTTTCCATTTTCATTCAGTTCAGTATATTTTTTGGTTTCTGTTGAGACTTGCTCTCACCCATGGATTATTTAGGAGTTGGCTGTTTAGTTTCTAAGTGTTATTTCTAGTTGGGTTTCATTGTGGTCAGAGGACATATTCTGTGTGATTTCAATTCTTTTATATCTGTCAAGGTTTGTTTATGGCTCAGGATTGAAAAGAATAAGTATTTTGTTGCCATTGAATAGAATGTTCTATTAATGTCAATTAGATCCTGTTGATTGATGGTGCTGTTGAATTCTTCTATACGTCTGCTGATGTTCTGTGTAGTTGTTCTCTCAATTGCTTAGAGAGAGGTGTGGAAATCTGTAACTATAATTGTGAATTTGTTTATTTCCCCTTTCAGTTCTATAAGTTTTTGTCTCATATTTTGCAGCTCCATTGTCTGATGCATACATTTAGGATTGTTATGTCTTGGTGGATTGACCTTTTGTCATTATGTAATGTTCCTCTCTATTCTGTTAATTTCTTTGCTCTGAAGTCTACATTAGCTGATATTAGTGTAACCACCCCTCTTTTCTTTTGTTTCTACAATATATCTTTTTCCATTCTTTTACTTTCAATCTGCCTGTATTATGTTTGAAGTCAGTTTCTTCTAAATAGCAGAGTTAGGTTTTTTTTTTTGACCTACTCTGTCAATCTCTCTCTTATAATTGTTATATTTAGGCTACTTATATTTAATTTAATTATTGATATATTAGGGTTTAAGTCTGCCCTGTATTTTATAATTCAAAAAGTTCCATTTGGTTCTTTTATATATTTCTTTCCTTAGACTTTGTATTTCTTTGCTGGTAGTGTCTATCTTTTCATTTGTTTTAATTTGTTCATGATTGCTTATTGAAGCATTTTTATAATAGTTGCTTTAAAATCTGTGTCAAGTAATTCTGAACATCTCTATCATTTCAGTGTTTGCATCTATTGATTGTCTTTTTCCTTTCTATTTGAGATCTTGGTTCTTGCTATGGCAAGCAATTATTTTTTCTTCTCTATTGAAACCTGGAAGATTTGAGTATTACATTATGAAACTCTGGATCTTATTTAAGCCTTCTGTTTTAGCTAGCTTCCTCTCATACCACTTCAGCA